CACACACACACACACACACACACACACACACACACACACACACACACGCACATACATACATACAATACATACAAACATAACTTCCTCGTGTCCACCAACTCCGCTCATTATGTAAATCCCGTATCAAAAGCACTATAATATTGGTAACCACGGACGCAACTTTGCTTCAAACTGTTCTAAATCTGTTTATTACGCCTCGTAGAACAAATTTACTAGACAAATGTATATTTTGCATATATTATGTCAAGTCGTTATGTATAGAATTACACTGGTCTTGTCTATACAGCACCTCGTTGCCGGGATAAACGGGATACAGTCTGAGAGGAGGAGCAGTTAGACGACGGCGACCCGTAAAAGCTGCATAATATCGATGTACGAAACTTTATCAAATATCTGTGTGATACACTGCAATTTGCAACTACGGTCATTTGCGTTGAAATAAAACATGATAGACATATAATGTAATATGTATACATTATATTCACGAGATATATAGATATGTATTCAGGTCGTTTACACGTGTGTATGGTTACACATAGTGTTTATATTTTTGAAATCCTGTTTTAAATTTAATAGTTAGAATTTTTCAAGAGTAAAATAAAATCACGAATGGAACACTCATATTTAGAAACGCCTAAATTTCAAAGAAGAGATTTTTATCTTTTTAAAAAAACAAAAAAACAAATTGACTTTTCTGAACAACATCAAAAATTCTGATATATTTATTTTTTTTTGGCCATCCATTTTAATTGTTTGTTTTTTCTAGTCAATATTTTAGAATATACATTATAAAATTCAAATGAATATTATACTGAGCGTTTTACAAAAGAATACACGCTATTTTCTATAGTTTTACCATTTCAATAATAAAATTATGCATTATTCATGGCTTTACTCATACCAAATTGAAATATAAATGAAAAAGTCGAAAACAGATGTGTAATAATGCTTATATAAAAGGGCAATAAAATAAGTATGTATAAATAATAACCCGAAAGTTCAATACTTTATAAAATATCGTTTCTACTGCAGATAAGAAATATCAACTTTTGTTCGTTAAAAAAATAAAATAAACAATTATTGTTACCTGTGTGACATTGTTACCTGTGTGACAGATCAAAGTGTTTTTTTTTTATAAAAGCATGTGAAACTGATGTCTTCTTGTGAAAACTCTTAGTAGATAATTTCATAAAAATTGAACTACCTTAAAAATGTTATTATTTTATGAATTGTCGCATTTAATTAATATCGATCTATTAAAATATGTGTTTTTATATTGTAAATTGAAAATATAAGTAATTTCAGTAACTAGTATTACATTGATGAGTGTTAAATTTAAGTATATTTAACTAAAATTTAGTCTGGCTTCAAAAGATATATTTATATTATAAAACCATCATGAAATATGTATTTAAATGTCAGATATTTTATACTTGAGTAAAATTTTATTCGAAAAATAAAGGATAATAAATTTATTTTTGTTAAACGGTTAACTCAATAATGATTATGCAATAATGTGTTTCTATAATAAGGTTTTTTTTTTTTTATCAAAACACAAGTTAGTGCGTAATGGGACTCTGGAAACAAAACACGTTTGGAGTTCTAATTTAAATGGTCCAATATTCCAAGGTTCCAAAATAAATAAATTAATGCGTAAACCATATTCAAAAGTTTGAGGTAACACTGCACTTAAACATAAGAAAAAAACATTAACTCGTAAAAGAAAATCTTTAATACCTAGTTTACAAACATGAGTGTTTTCTATATAAATCGTACCATGATTAACTCTTAAATCGATGAAATTTATTGGATTTGTAACAAAAAAATATAAAATACATCATATATTCTGAAAACAAATATCAAAATAAAGTATCAACAAATAAATATAACTCAAAAAATAAAATTCTATGATAAATAAATGATCACAAAATTTTTAATTTTAAAATATGTTGTGTTTGAAAATGTATCTCGGTACACTAAAAACAAATGTTGATAATTTATTTTAATGCTATGCGCATAGAAATATATACACGCAACCTATTAATTATTTAGTGTAGTTTAAATATTAAAATACATTTTGGCATAAACTTCTATATGTAATATGTATGAAATTTAGGAATGTTCCTCTTATATTTAAGACCTAATCAAATATTTACTCGAAACTCAAAAAATAGTAATAAGAACTCTATTTCAATTTTATACTTTTAACATATCCCAGAATTCTTTATACAAATACAAGTTTTTACTTTTATAATTTATTAAAAATAATAATTTATTGCACAATGCTAGAATAGGATATGCATATATAACTAGAATAAAACACTAAAAAAAAAAAAAAAAAAAAATTAAAACCAAAAAATATAAATAAAAAATAAGATTCATGCGATTTTTACATTTATGTTCATCAACACAGAATTATAATTTCAATTTTATTTGTAAGCTTTTTAATTTTTATTAAATATTTAAACATAAAATATAAATCTGTAAGTATAAGATATTATGAGATATTAATTAAAATTTAAGTATGTAATTATATAATATCGTATAACTTTTATAATCGTATTCCTTGCTGCTTGAATTTGAATGAATAATATTTTATTATTGGCAACTTTGTTTCATGAATAAGAAATAACTATATGAATATATAATAAATTCTTTAAAAATAAGTTAGGTATCTACCTAACTGCTCATTTAAATATATTAAAAATATAATATAATGCAATAAGATAATATTGTATAATTAGGTTTAAATTTTAATAAAAGTATCTCATTATTAAAATGTGTGTAATTAAAAAAAAAAATATAGATATTTAAAAGTTTATATTTTTTTTTAAACAAAATATGATAAATTAATTTACACCGGGCTTGCATAAAATAATTTTAAATATAATCGTAGTGCTTCATATTAATAAAATACAATAACTATATTGTTTTAAAAAATAAACGTTAATATAGTTGTTCGTATTACATAAGATATTTTAGTTAACTTGAAACAAAACAAAAGAAGTTTATAAAGGGAATACTAATCATATCGCTATAATTTGCAACCCTATAAATTGGAATGGTTTACGAATATAATGAATTTGAGTGTAATTTAAGAACTATTTAACCGTTGACATGTCGTGAACTTATGACATTCAAATACGTATACAACGAATAGTATAACAAAACGTTTAAATATATCTAATGTTATGATAAAAAAAATAATATTAGTTCACATAGATAATATGTTAAGCGCGCATTTAAATTATAAGAGTTAGTATTTGAACTTACGGTTGTTGTACGGTATGCTGTCTGATAGCGGTATTAAGGTGTACGGGTGGTCGGACTGCCGCAGTAGGTGGTGGAAACCTTCTTTCAGCCGTTGTTAGACCGTAAATTTCGTCCTCTTCGCGATCACTCAGACAACTAGATGGCTAAGGCATAAAAAAAAAAAAATAATAATAATAATAATAAAATAAGATTAAAATATAGTAAAGAAAAAAAATAAATATAGGAACGATAATTCCGGTGTATACATTTTTGTAACACGTACGTGCGTCTTAGCACCGGAACACACAAAAGTTTCCAAATCAACGCTGAATAGAATGGACGGAGCCACCCGCCTCTTTCCTACTCCTCCTGTTACTCGTCCTACACGTTTTACGTGCGCCGCCGTTTTCTCAACTCCTTTGAACGTCTCTCTAATCCCTAAGGGTCCCACTCACTTAACAACAATTGTACTCTAAAGAGACTAGCACGACTGATTGAAATAGTCGCTAGTTACTGATATATTTACGTACATAAATATAGATACGCACTAAGATAATTTTCCTTTTATTCGTAAATTGACTTTGGTGAAAATCGATGATTTGATTGAATGTTTTCAATATCATAGAACTGCAGCGCACGTATATGTCGTATATATAATATATAATATTTTATGTTCAATAATATGCATAGAAACAGTGAATACATTTGAGTTAATATCACTTATTAGTCATTTTTAGACAAAATAATATGATATCATCATACAATAAAATGCAAAAAATATGTAGAATTTATGATGTAATCTATTGTATGGTCTCTAATGACTCCAACCTATACTAATAATAATTATTTATAAAATAATGAAATTGAAGTAATAACAGTCCGATTAAATCGCAAAATACCGGTTAAATAAGAATGCAAACATATAATTAATTTTTTAATTCAAAACTTTTTATATTCATACTTTTTATTCACTGTGGAGTTTTCGACAATTCTCATTAAATATAAAAGGATATTAGAGCACAATTTGTTTTCTCTCTCTCAATCGCTTTCTCTTTCAACGAGCCATATATACCAAAAAAAGTAATGTAAAATCTTTCTTTTTATAGCTTTTAAGTTATCTTATAGTAAAATTACTCTTTACAGAAATTACTATAGAAAATATTTTAAAAGGTTTTACAAATAATTTTGTTTAAATATTATCTTAAAAAAAAAAAAATTGAACATTTTTTTTATAATCAAAAATGTGTTTTTCTTAAACTCAATAGGGTAAAACACAAAACCAATATATCAAACCCTTACAAATATTATTTTCTATAAATTATATAATAGATAACTAATTTTACTCTCGAACTACTCAAACATCACCAAAAAATGTTTTGCATGAATGTGTTTTACAATTATTTTACACGTGGTTAAACATAAAAAATAAAGAATACACTGACATCATATTGAACTAATAAAATAAACAATAAAACTACACTAATCAATTTGACGGATTTTTTTTTTTAATTTAGCAAATGAAATGTGATATGAGTACAATATTATGTAGTGCGATAAATACAAAAAAAAAAAAATAATGAAATTAATAAACCTAACCAATATCCAGGAATAATAATCCTATCACTTCTGCTAAAAAATATACATACATAATAAATTATAAGCTATTTACTGTGATAAAAATGACTTTTAAAATTTAAAATAAGGGTATAACATAAAAATGAAACACACTTATAATATGTATCATCCACAAAATATTACTTAGGGTTTAATAATATGCTTAGAATAAAACAAGCAATATGTAATAATAAAGAAACACAATTTAAATTCAAGTGTGTAAATCATTTAATATGTATATGATACAAAATGAAAATCGTGATTTTGAATACTCACAGAGTATTTTCCTGGCGCGTACAGGTGATGAGAGTACGGATTTCCGGCCATGTTGCACGGTGACCTGGAGGGCGAAGAGGGTGCTAACAACGTGATTCGGGGAGATAATTCAGCCCACTCGGTGGCCCTAAGTTCGTCCAGATACTCCAAAATATCCCGATAATGGGTGTTGTACAGATCCGCGTACCGGGACGCTAAGCCTTCCAAATAGCCTCGTTCGCCGTTCTGTAATCATAATAATAATATTAAAAAAATATACGTATATTTAATGAAATGAAATGAAAAACTCATTAAAACGACAATTGTGATGGGCGACTGGGGGTGAATGTTAAATGTTCTCTTATGTACACATGGAAGAGGGTCGTACATAAATGGGGAGGCGTAGATAAATTTGCCCTCCTCTTACACTCGGCACACACGCTACATATTGGTATTAAATGAACCAAACAGAGATTTCCAATTCTATTGCAGTGAAGTCTGAATAGGGCCCAAAACTCATTTTCTGGGTATTATTTATTTTTCAGCATCATCTGCTCGAAGAGGGCTCTAATAACTGTCAAACCCTGTTAAAAATCGCGATTTCCTGCAAGACTCACCAAGGATGAAGTGCAGATGATAAAACAATAGTATAACGAAAGCGATTTATTAGTCAGTCTGGCTTTATTAAATTCATCGTTTTTTTTGTATGATTTACGAGTTTTCATAGTTGATTTACGACTATGCGTTTCATCCAAATAAGAAAAAATAAACCTGTATAATACACGTTAGAATAATTCTAGAATATAATATGTTCTTATAAATTATTATTGGGTAATTTATACACGTAAGGTATGAAATAAATCGACAAAAAAAAAAAAAAAATATTATGTGTCACTTTGTCTCTCAATAAGGAAGTTTAGTTACAAAGTGAATCCAATTCTCCTAACATATAAATGTATCATACGTCGAGAATAAATATCAAAAATATCTACCTAGAACTAATTGAAAATTAGTTGAACCGATGGCATCGTCATCAATATTAATCTTGATATAATTTTAATTAATTTAATAATCTTCACATAAATTATATATATTGAGGAGCAGAGTTATAATTTTTTTTAATCATCTAACATTGTTCGTTTGGCTTAAGGAAAAATAAAACAAAAAAAAGGAAACTACGTTTTAACTAGCGTATAAAATACACACACTTGTTTATATATCAAATTTTTAAATTATTTATGAAAGATTTTATTAAATAAAATTGTGGTAAGAAAATATTTTTTACGTAATTAAATTAAAAGTTTTTATTGTATTATTATTATTTTTTTTTTTAATAATAAATATAATAAAAATATAATAATTGTCATAAATTTGCATAATTTATAGGTCATATTATCAAAATTCTTAACCAAGAAATTTTTGCTAAGTTTAAAACATTTATTTAACATTATTTTCTACTTTGATAAACATAAATATAATATAAAGGATTCACAGGGTTCACATTTAAAAGTATGAGTCAACATATTTAAGCAAAAAAAAAAAAAATCTTAAAATAATAAAAATGTAGAAATTCTGAATACAAAATATGTAAGGTAAATATCATACGGATATACAAATTAAAATTATATTTATATACTAAGTATTTACTTTTTCTAAGTAAACGATAAAAAATAAAATAATGAATAATATTGTGAATAGCAATTCTATGAGTATCATTTTACATAAAATATCATATAAATACAATAAGTACATACATGTGTATCCATATTTAATATGTACATTGTACATATAAGCATATAATATAAACGAAGAAGTAATTATTTTATTGTAAAACACTGTTTTTGTATTTATATAATTAATTTTAAGTATATAACTATAATTATTATTATTAATAACATAACATTTATTCAAAAAACCTAAAATAAAAATTAATTTTATACATATTATTTTTTTCTAAAGTAATTTCAATGTATTTTCAATTCCCGATCCTAAATCGCCATTCATAAAAATCAAATATTGAACCTACGACAGTTTACACTTATAAGTATCATACATTCAATAACTCCGTGCATGTAGAGAAGTGCAGTTCAAATTTACAGCTGGTTATTCCTTGACGTTCTAATGCCATACTTTACACGACCATAAAACACGTGTAAATCATTTTTAAATAACATATTGAGATTTCAAAAATAAGTATTTGAAATATTTTTTTTATTTGTAAAAATGTAGAACTTTGAGTTTTTAAATTTATAAAAATGTATAAAAAGTAAGATAAAATGAGTATCGTTCGTTTCAAAAATCAAAAATATTACTGCATATTAATAACATATATAACACAAATAAAAACGTGCATGTTATGAACGTTTATAAAATGGAATTCGGTGTTTTTTCAAACAATTTTAAACGTATATAATCTTTACTCATAGGTACAGCAATGCAATAATATTATATATGTTTACACAAATTCGTTACGATTCCACGACTACAGCGATGTCTTAAAAAGAGGATAAGTACCACCGTCGTAATATATGTATATTGTATATGCAGTAGAAAAGCAGAAACCCATTTGTTTATGTTTGATTAACTCTTGTGGTTATGTAAACTTTGCAAGAATCGCAGCGCAAAGTTTAAAGGTAAGCCATGACGATACTGCGTCCACATCTATCAGTTCATCAATACTTTAGACTTAACGTCAACGAGTAATCCCCGCACAGAATATAGCACGTGCTATCTACTCGTAACCGGTAAAGGTCATTTCGAGGGTAGGTAGATATATCCGGTTATTATCGTTGGGAAGAAAACACACGTAGGTAGTGCGGTACGAGCTGAAGCAAGAGGGTTACGATTATTATTATTATTATTCGTCAGCAACAAAAACGACCGAGGGTAAGGTGGGCGAGGAATACGTAAGATATACGCCGTTGAGGCTGCCGCCGTCGCGAAAATGGAAAAAATGACTTTCGACCCGACGTCTACGTGAAAAATTTTCGTTTATAATGTTCTGCCAAGACGTCAATTTTTCATACGCCAAAACCTATGGGACAGACGGGTGAGAGGGGTGGGTATGAGAGAGAAAGTTCAAAGCTCGAATGATTATCCCCGGTAAAAATTGTGAACCCTCAAGGTTATGTTTTCTAATACCTTCGCGACCCGTAACCACCCACCCACTAACTCTACAACAATCGTTGCCAGAGCTAACAACTCTTATAGTTGAACTTGTTTTATTTTTATTTGTGGTGTACAAAAAACAAAAAACAACACCTTATACTAACAGCTTTAGATAGAATTTCCTTCTTGAAAGTCAACATTTTGTATAGGCAATTTTAAATGTTGCAACAGTCTATTTTAATACGATTCTATTGCCATTTAGCTTTTAGTTTTTTAAAACCATTCGTGAATATTAAAACACACACGCGCGCGCAATTAAAAGATTTATAGAAAAAGAATTTAACGTTAAAAATATGAATTATTGTTAATATCGAAATATGATCAAAATAGCAAAACAATATTACTTTTATAGTTACATTATTTAAAGATATGATTTAGATGCGCATCAACACATTACGTAACTACATAAAATATACGACAAAATCAATTATTAGAGTTCATTAAACTATTTTTTTTAACTCAACTAACATTATAAGCTCAAAATAACCAAAAAAAAAAAAATCGAACAGAATTTAATACACCATACCCGCAGTTGATAAAATGTGTATTTAGAAACATTTACCTAAATCTCCAAATTTCTTTATACACAATAAAATTCTTTTCCCTCTCATAAGTTGTTCTTCTTTTTAAAATTTCATGGTATGTTACATATCACTTGACTTTTAATTTGTATTGATCTTGAAGTTCTTTGTATTCAAAATATATTATAAACGTATTATCTATTTTTTGTTGATATTAAAAATTAATTGAAGACCATCATGACCAATTTCACCGAAATTCGAACAATAATGAAGATGTCAAATTAATTCGATAATAACAATAAATAAACACTGTTTGACAAATATAAATAATTTTAAATTATAAAAACCAGTAGAAGACATAAATACCAAAATGAGATAAAAACAAAAAAAGTCGTATTGTATGAAAGCGCCAAAATCGTATCGTACAAATGCGCCAAAATCCTAGGTAGCTTAGGTAGGCTATTAAAATTTAGAACTAAGTATATCGTTAAAAAAACTCCAAACGCTAAATCTTAATTGACAAATTTATAATCTGATCACGATAGATTGTCACATAGACAGTGTATGAGTAGTTTTGTGTTATACAACTAATTGTTACTACCTATTTCGTAAATATTTGTGTAAGCGCCATTCGTTAAAATAAATTTTACAAAAAACTATTACTAATAAAGGTGTTACGTGGGTTTTATATAAAGACCAAGAATATAGATTTTTAGGAGAAATGGCCAGCGGTAATGTGTCATTGAGGTATACCAAGACAAATAATTGTACAATTATGAAAAAATACCGTGATAGTGAAATAAATCGTAAGAAATATGTAAAATAAATTGGATTAAAAAATTAACCAATTAATTAAAATTATGTTTAATTGTATATATATTATTGATAATTTTTTCTATGAAATCGAAACATCAAACAATACCTTAGGTGCTTATGTCCTGCACATTTTGGCGTAAATGAAATGTAACTTTTGTACCTTTAACGCTTATATCTACAGCCACGAAAAACATCTTTGGTTTCAAACAACTCACAGTATCATATTTCATCTACCGATATATTATAATTAGAGATTAATCTATAAAACGAAATTTGTGTTATAGAATATAGATAGTTTAATTATTACGAGTAAATATTACGTTTAATAAAAAAATTGATATTAGTTGTCCTTAATAAAGAAATGACAAATATTTAATAGAAAAGCATCATAATGAAATACATTTCATACATAAAATTATAACTAAATGCTTATTAATTCATTTAATAATTCATTAAATGGTTGTATTAAATTTGAATACAATAAAATAAATCATTGTAAATGTACAAACGATTTCAAGCGGCGAAGAACAGATGGAACGTTAATTTTCAAGGATAGCGTGTTATATTATTAAATTTTTTTTTTATTAGATAAGTTAAATTTATTTTGGGAAAAAAATATCATATTTATCGATATAATTTATAAGTCAATATCGACGTACGTTGAATGAAATAATTCTATTTGTGGTATAAATAGCTTATAATTAGTCTAAATAATTTTTTAATTGTATGTAGAAAGTAATA